GCACTGTGTTGGCCTTTTTGGCAGCTGCAGCACACTGCTGGCTCATATTTAGGTGATTGTCCACTAGGACTCTGAGGTCCCTCTCACAGTTACTACTATTGAGCAAGGTACCCCCTATACTATATCTGTGCATTTGGTTTTTCTTGCCTAAATGTAGAACCTTGCTTTTTTCACCATTGAATTTCATTTTGTTAGATAGTGCCCAGTGTTCAAGTCTGTTCTGTATCTTAAGCCTATCTTCTGGAGTGTTGGCTATTCCTGCCAGCTTGGTGTCGTCTGCAGATTTGATGAGTTCCCCATGTGATGTTATCTCTTTCAAAGACTAGCATTATGGAAGCATATGCATTAGTTCAGGAAATGTGTGGATGAACCTTTTGTGGCCCTCAGAAGAGGCTTTGCAAAGACATTGATTTACATCTTGTTGCTATGTTAGAAACTTTAAGCCAGCAAAATCTGATTTCAATCCAGAACAAACAATCAAGCCTAACTCCTTAGCTTGGAGACTAGATCACTTTGTGATCACAAGAAAGGGTTGAGGTTTGCTGGAATATTCTGATGCTTATTTAATTTTGAAAATCACGTTGTCACTATAGAGCTATTTCTGTTACAAAAGCATCCCAAACCAGCACAGGTTGTTTAACTTTGGAAGATTTTTCTCCATCATTTCCTTCTCTAACTCACTCTCAAATACTACAACTGGGCAATTGTTCTATGGAATATCCCACCCCTCTCTACATCTAATTTAATATTGAGGAATTGGAAGGGGGAAATCAGTAGAACCACAAAGAAGAAGACTTACTTGCCATGGCTGCACAATCTGGGATGATTCATGGTATCCAACTTGCATTCTCCTCTTACTCCGTTGGAAGGAAGAGGCATCACTGAGGACACATGCCACAGTTTGAATTAATTTGGAAATACTGGAGAGATCCTGAGAGAGGATTCTTGCAATCACATCGTGGGGTGGGAATTCCCAGCTCTCTTTTTCTTTGCATTTTTTCCAAACTTTCTTAGATAACAAAGGACTTGAATTGGAACATTGGAATGCTTCCATTCCATACACTGTGACCATAGATGTATAAGATTTAAAGTCATAATACTGAGTCCTTCTCTTTGTCTGGATGAGGAAGGAAAACAAAGCATATTTATTTTGGAGATCAACCAAGAGGTCAAAAACACCTACACTTAAAGCTGTCAAAGTTGTTGCAATCCACACTCTTCCCACGATGAATTTCTTACTCTTCTCAATCACTTGTATTACTGATGTTAGTATCCCTGTGGCCTTTAAATCCAGTTGGCATACTATAATTTTTATTTGACTCTTCATAAGAGAACGGAACATTTCCCATTTTTCTTGCATGAGGGATTCTCCAGCACTTGTCTTCATATTTGCTTCTGGGATGGTTCCTGAGAGGACAATGCAAATCCCATTTTTTAGAACAAGAGCTTCCAAGCTTATTTTGAATTTTTCTCCTCTGTCATTGTCCAGAGAAAGGAGGCCAATCCACGTCCATTGGAAATGCCGGAGCAGCTTGACAATCGCAGAGTAGGGAGGGTTTTGGTTTGGGGTCATCCGATATGAAAAAGGGAAATGTTGATTTTGCTCAGCAATCTGGTTGATGACACTGTAGTTGATCTAAGATAAAACAGAAGGTATTAGTAATTTGTGTCAGTTTTAATGATAAAAATCAGATGATAAATCTAAGGGCCTCTCCCCACTGCTGAGAGAAGTTTCAAAGAATAATTGCATGAATTTTGCTGGCTCCCTTGATGTTCTGTCCTGTTGTCTTGTATGCTCCCTTTGAAACTAAGGAGCTCTGAATTATCTGTGGGTGGTGCTCATGGATGGTCCTGATGGAGCACATCCCTCTGGTCAACCCTTACCCATGCAGTTTTGCCTGGGTGATGGAGTGGATGCAGTGGGGCACTTTTGCTGTCAACAACGTAGGCTCACATGAGCCCTACATACTCTGTTTTTACCCACATTGTAACTCTGTGGGTCACCCACCCACTCATGAAATATCTTTTTAAACTGACAAACATAGATTATTACTGCTTATTTCATTGCTTCATATGTTGGACTTGAAATGTTGTTTGTTACATTCCCCCCTAACAATTGTTTAATATTGGTATATTATTACATTGTCTTCATTTATATAATTTCATTCATCATAGCAGTGTTCCAATATCTCAGGGGCTGCCACAAAGAAGAGGGAGTCAAGCTATTCTCCAAAGCGCCTGAAGGCAGGACAAGAAGCAACGGATGGAAACTAATCAAGGAGAGAAGCAACCTAGAACTAAGGAGAAACTTCCTGACAGTTAGAACAATTAACCAGTGGAACAACCTGCTTCCAGAAGTGGTGAATGCTCCAACACTGGAAGTTTTTAAGAAGAGACAGGAAAGCCATTTGTCTGAAATGGTATAGGGGTTGGACTAGATGATCTCCAAGGTCCCTTCCAACATTATTATTATTATTATTATTATTATTATTATTATTATTATTATTATTATTATTATTATTATTATTGATTTAAAATATTTCTATATTAACTCTTTAATTGGTTGAATTTCTTTCAGACATTTGGAATGCAGAAGTCTGTTTAATAACCTCACTTTAAAAAAACCAAGACAACTAGCATTGTGCCAAGCTCCAGTTCAAAATTGGAAAGAATATTATGACATACTTTTTTTTCTCTTGTACACTGGAGAAAGTATGTAAAATGGCTTTCTGGAAGTGCCCTCAAGCTGTCTTGACCCATTCATTTTTCTTTCATATCTTTCTTTTCCAATTTTTACTTCAGTCTCAAGATGATAAAAATGAGGAATTCCTTACTTTGAAAGTTATTAAGAGTTGGAACATCCTGTCTCCTGGAGCTCCGTCACTGGATATTTTCGAGGAAATATTGGACAGCAATTTATCTGTAGTGGTCTGACCATTCCTGGCCCATGGAGGGAGTTGGGCTTTTTTATTCTATGATTCTGTGTACAAAACCAGGTCACTCTTCAGCTCTTCTAATATTTATTCTCTGACTCTCAATTTATTTGGAAAAATATATACAAGTGCTGCCTTCTAGGCAAGCACTTGTATATATTTGTATATCTGAAGAATTTACAACATGGAATTACTTTCATTTTGGCTTTATACCTGTGGGATTTTGTAGATGCTCAAGACATTAGAAATATGATCAAAGAGTTCAGAATCCATCTCTTCAAGGACTGCCAGCAGGTTCGTTTGTCTTCCACATCTGTAGTTTGGGATGTTCTCCTGCCCTGTGGACAACACGTCCATCATGGCTTCATATGTCAGTCTTGCACTGAAAAAGTTCTGATAGATGTTGTAGCCCAGGGTGATGTTGGGTAAGAGCCTTGAATTCTGGTTGACTTCATGAACAGCCAACAAGAAGGGCAGAAGGTGGTAGAAGGTGTTCTCACTGCAACATAAGAAATTTCCAAAGGTCATCATCTTCCATTTGGATTTTCATAAAAGCATGTCATATATACTGTAGCTTTATATCTATATAGTGCAATGCCAAAAAGATAATCAGAGACTCATTATTTAATTAAATTATTCAATTTATTTGGGTGTTGCAGGTGATAGATATCTTTGAAATTTCCATTAGAAGAACAGTCCCATTGGCTCCACTAGGAGCTTCTTGTCAAAAGAAATATCAGGGAGATATAGTAAGCTTCTTATGTCAGGATCAAAAGAATCCTACCAAAATTACCAGAACTGATTCTGCCTATAATTATCTCCAAATTATGACTTGGGGAGAAAAATGAGGAAACTTATTCTTACAGTTTAGTAACCAGGTACGTAAGGAAAATAATCACAATAGTAAGAAACCTTTGTACTTTCTTTTACTCAAAAAGAAAGCATGGCGGTTTCTTACTATTTTAACTGTTTCAATCTGTTTAGAATAACCTTTTGCAAAATCAAAGCATTTGTTTTATTTATTTACCTATTTCCAGAGATAATATATCAGTTCACAACAATCCATAAAATGTAATTAAAATCATGCCCTTACCCCCCAGGCACCAGACTAGATATGCTTACAGCTCACAACCCCCATCCTAGTCCAATGCTTGGGAGAAGATCTGTGTCTTCTCAGTCCTCCAGAATGCATATAAGGGATGCTACCAAGTACACACGTACATGTTGTGATCATATTATAGGATTTCTTCCTATTATATCTCCCTGGAGATGACTACTACTACTACTACTACTACTACTACTACTACTACTACTACTTCTTCTTCTTCTTCTTCTTCTTCTTCTTCTTCTTCTTCTTCTTCTTCTTCTTCTTCTTCTTCTTCTTCTTCTTCTTCTTCTTCTGCCATACCCGTTATCGGACGTTGGCGATCATGTTGGCGATCCTGTTTTTATGAGCAGCCGCACGAAAAAGTGCTGCTGAGTTTTGTCCAAACCAGTCCCTTAGATTTTGAAGCCATGATGTTCTTCTTCTGCCTCGACCTCGTTTGCCTTCAATCTTTTCCTGGAGGCTTAAATGGAGTATGCCGTATTTTTCTGGGTGTCGCATCACATGTCCGAAATATTTTAATTTTCATTTTTTAATTGTTTTGATGATTTCCCTTGGCTTTCCCAGGCGGCTTATCACCTCCTCATTTCTGATCTTGTCAACCCAGCTTATACGTAACAGCTGCCTGTAAATCCACATTTCAAATGCTTCTAGTCTCTTCAGGTGGCCTTCTGTCAAAGACCAACTCTCTACTCCATAGATAGAGGAGGATAGGAGATGACTAACAGCTGGATTCAAGTGCTAGATTAGCAAGTGGTATTACCAATCTGAAGATGGATATCTCTTCATAAGCCTTTTTTAGATCTAGAGATTTGCTGCAGAATATTCATGACTTTAGAATTATTTCCCTATATTCTACAGTTAACTACAATTAATGTGATCCTCTGTGACTAAACATTAACTTATAAAGTCTCTCCCCTCCTTGAATTTGGTTTTGAAAAGGTATGCCTTTTATTTAAACCAAAAGGAACAGGGGAACCACAAAAGTAATTAAAGGGCTGAAAGAAAGAGCGGAGAGGGTGGTAGGAATTATAGAGTAAATGTAAGAAAAGGGAAGAAATGGTAGGGAGAAAGTACAAGCGATCTCCCTCTGCTCTAAGGTATTCAATCACTTTATTGGGGGTTACTGCTGAACTATTGTTAATAAATCAATAAAATAAATATGAATAAATTGCTGACTCTCCACAGTACCAAGGTAATCATTTTGAAAGCAGGCAGAACCCCATCCAGGTAAGAGTCATCCTGGGACAATGTTGGCAATGCCCAATGTTGCCCAGTGTGGAGGTTGACACTAGTGGAAGAACTTAAAAGGAACTTTGCAAACTCAGGTTTTGCAAACTCAGGTTTTACAAAATCAAGCTCCCCAGGAGCTTTTCCTCTAAAGCAAATTGGGAGAAGCAATAATGACTTGCCTTTCTCAAGGTGAAGAATAGGGGAAAGGAAATCATTGCTAGAAAAGACATTGGAGCAGGTAAAAATCAATCCCCAGCATCCTGGACATGCGGACAATTACCTTTTCAGTCGGTGGGTTGGAGGCTTGGAGAATGAAAATTGGTACAGTTGAGATACGATTCCAGACATTATTCCAGTAATTAAGTAGTCTCCTGGCTTGTAGTAATGGAACCATTCCTTTTCTTCTATTATCACCTTAAGTGGACATTTCATCAGCATACAGGCACAGGGAATTTGAGACAGTAGCTGAAGCAGAAAGAGCTGTTTATGCAGCAACATTTAACATATACTGCAGAAGATCCTATAGTTGTTTATTCAGCACAGTGTTAAATCTCAGAGTTCACAGAAGACTATAACAACAGTGAAGAAGTTCCAGTTTGGCCCCAGATTTGGAAGAGTTATCTGCAATTTCAGACTGCTACAGTATTTGCTTGATTTTACTCCAACCTCTGCTCTCATCATAGGAGGAGGCTGTTACAAATCAGATTTTTAGGTGCTGTATATCCCATTTGTTGTCTCACTGATTGGTAACTAATTGGCGCGGTGGAAATCCCATAAACCTTGTTCAAAGGAGAATAAATCATCATGATTTTAATAATTAAAAGGGGAATTGGGAACGAGCATTGCCACAAAAGTGTGCAGTTGGAGAAAAGAATTTTGTTTGGCTCAGGAGAATAATCCTAATCTGAGAGTCAAGAAAGCAACAATTCAGGGAAGTTTTTTTTTTTTTTTAGTCTATAAACTTATTCTTGAGGTTAAAATGTGGAAAAACAGTTCAACGCTCTTGAACTAGTCAGCAGGCTATTATAATTCCTTCTTATTCTGTCTGGTGTGGATGAAATCATCTTTCTCAATGAAAGTCAGAATGGTTAACTCCAGATCATGATATATTGAACAACCTATTGGAGGCCCCTGTTAAATGTCTTGTGTCAACGCTGCTAATATTGTATATTCTTGCTTTGACAAAATATGCAGAACTGTCTGATATTTTTAGAGTTTATGCAGAGGAGAAGGAGGGAGGAGGGAAAAGCCCGTGAAAGAGAAAGAAGGGAACCTTTGCCCTTCACACTAATTGGAGAATGTAAATCATGACAACAAAATAGGGAGTGGAAATGCTAGCAAAATAACTGTTCGGTGGGTGGGGATTTTAGATCTTAGCATCCCTTCGTTATGCCGTGCCGACATTTTGTAACATAATAAAAGACTTTTAGGAAAATCAATGCCTGGAAGTTCTTTGAAGTGTTTCATTAGCCGGAACCATGACATCTTGTATCTTTCAAAATGTGGAAGACTATCAGTCTTCATGATTACAAATAAGATCTAGTCAAAATTCCCTGGTGCGTTAATCTGAAAAATGGCCTGTTACTGACTTGTTCATAATGTGATGACATTTGCTGTCATAAATTATCTACTAGGGGACCAAGAGATGGTGCTCTAGGAGTGCAATAGCAACAAAGGCTGAAGTTGAAGGGGTAAATAAAATCTGAGAAGCTGAGACCATGGTCAATGCTATACAATGGGCAGATTTGAGTCCTTCTGCTAAATATGCGTCTGAAACCCTCCATCCATTGCATCCTCCAAAACCCATTTGATGGAATATAAGTAAATTAATCATATATATTTCCTGGACAATCAGTTGCTTCAAGGATGAACGTTAATCTGAAGCCAGAATGGTACAACTCACCGTAGCCAATTCATTGTGGCCAACTGGGTATGGTCAACTCACCATGGGACAAGTTGCCATGGGACAATTTAAAAATGTAATATAATTATTTAAAATAAATAAAAAAAATATTTTAATTTTTGTCATTCCCATTTCATTCCAAATGTGGCCTTACCAAGGCATTGTAAAGTGGTATTATTACTTCATGTGATCTTGATTCTATCCCTCTGTTAATGCAGCCCAGCACTGTGTTGGCTTTTTTGGCAGCTGCAGCACACTGCTGGCTCATATTTAGGTGATTGTCCACTAGGACTCCGAGGTCCCTCTCGCAGTTACTACTATTGAGCAAGGTACCCCCTATACTATACCTGTACATTTGTTTTTTATTGCCTAAATGCAGAACCTTACTTTTTTCACCATTGAATTTCATTTTGTTAGATAGTGCTCAGTGTTCAAGTCTGTCCAGGTCCTCCTGTATCTTAAGCCTTCTGGAGTGTTGGCTATACCTGCCAGCTTGGTGTCATCCGCAAATTTGATGAGTTCCCCATCTATCCCCTCATCCAAATTGTTGATGAAGATGTTGAAGAGCACGGGTCGGTAATCCGCAGCTTTGGAGCCGCATGTGGCTCTTTGAGCCTTCTCCTGTGGCTCCCAGCTTCCTCCGCCATTTGCAGAGAGAGAGAGAGAGAGGCACTTGCCCTTCCCTTCTCTCTCTCTCTCTCTCTCTCTCTCTCTCTCTCTCTCTCTCTCTCT